CTCCTGTGATGATGGTGGGATAATTCTCACAACAATCTGTTTTTGTACATATTTTAATCTAACCTTGTTTTCCCAAGGTTGTACTTGCCTTCTAACTCAAGCACATAATTTCCTGCAATCTGCATTCACTAAGATCTAAAAAAAGGGAGGACAAGGTAGGAATTGTCCCTCTTTTTTTTTTTTTTTAAATTTCTATGGTGTCATAGTGATACCCTCTATCCCAGGGAAAGAAAGGCAAGGTTGCGCTAGGATCAAAACAGAAAACAATGGAAAGCTCTTGATTGCTTCCATGGACAGAAATTTATCTGAAAAATGCCATTATGCTAAACGGTGGTCCTCCTGGGGAATTGCAAGTGTTCAAATTAACCATGCCTTGTAGGAGGGACCCTTTGCCATTTCCTATGACTTTTTGTCTTTGGTCACATCAATTCAAGCCTTACATGATCTGAGTAGCAGGAAAAATCCTGGAACATTGGGGTCCAATCAGGTACATTTCACAGAACAAATGCCCCATGTGAAGGAATCCATAGATGACAAACAACCAACTGAATAAACAACACTGCATTACTTCAGTATTTCTCCCAACACAACTTTGATTCCTGCCTGGGAAAACTTAAAGTTTCAACTTTGTTAGCTACCCTGCAAGAGCTGTTGCTGTTTCATCCTTGATGCCCTTTCTTGGTCTCCTGCCTAATCTACTGTCAACATTTTGCTTCCTTTGCCCACTCTTCCAACCAGGAATCTGCAGTCGTTTGTACCATGTCATTGAAAAGAGTTAGTGTGTGATTAGTTCACTATTTTTTCTAAAGTTTCTAACTTTCCAGTTTTCAGAAAGTCTGTGGGCCATCCAAGGTGAGATCTAACACCACTGTATCAGATCCATCTCTTTGTCTGCAGCATCTCCACTTAATTACATTCTGAAATAATATGCAGACAACAGGGACTTAAGATCAGCCTTCCCTCACTCCACTTCCTCCCCCCCCAGCTTTCTTTTAACATCTTGCCCAACAAAGAGATAAAAGGAATGCATTTTTGAGTGCACAGATTATTGTTTGTTTTTGGTTGGCTGTAAAAGTCTCACCTCATTATGGCAGTTGGACTATGTTTTGTATCGGTCCTGGCACCTTCACAGACGCATCTGATGGTGACACAGGAAAGAGCCTTCTCTGTTGCTGCTCCCAGACTTTGGAACTCCTTCCCACCAGAAGCCAGGCTGGCCTTATCTTAGCTGTCCTTCCACAAGCAGGCAAAGACCTTTCTCTTCAGACAAGCTTTCCCTTAATGACCGGCTGCTTGGGTGGGGTTTTTAAATATATTCTACCTCAACTTCCCATGTGGCTGAAAAGCTGTGGTTTTAGCTACCTCTGGTACGGAGCAGAAATAGGAAGGACGTAGGCTGAAATTTACTGGCAGGTCTCTGGGTGATTTCCAGTACATCTGGAAGAGTTTCTGGCTCTCATTTGTCTTCATAATGGTAACAGCCCACCAAGGCTTCCATGTCTCGGTAGATGAATTTCAAATTGCTGCCTAATCGTAATGCGTAGACCATATTACTCTTTAACATCCATGGTAGCAAAGGCAAACCTGCAGGTGTATTGCTGAAATTACAGAGAACCCAGCAGCAAAGAAAGCCAAAGATCATTTTGTGATAAATACAGATGCACAGGACTCACTCATCCTAAGATGTAGTTTAGATAACCTGAAAAGAACTTAACATATGTTTGGAGGAAATTGCTATCACAAGCTGCTAGCTGTAGCAAGACAGAGCCTCCAAGTTCAGAGGTAGTAGGTCTCTCAATTTAAAGGATAAAATGGGGCAGGCCATTACCTTTGTGCCTTGTTTCTCAGAAGCATCTGCCTAGCCCCTGTTGGAAGCAATGTTTCAATGCATGGTCTCTGCTCTGATCCAATAGACTACTGAGGCTTTTATACTTCTGCTGTTGCTAAAAAACCAAATAAACAAAACACTCCATGCACTGCGGTTCAGAGATGGTTGAGAAAAATAAATATTTTCCCCACTGGGATCAAATACAAAAGCCAAAGCTCTCTTCCTCACTGAATCCTTGGTTCCAGCGTTCTAGAAGAGAACCTTTGGGGTGGCTGCAGTCGTATGCAGATATGGCACCCAAACAGACCTTTTAAAAAGTTACTTTTGGACTACAGCTCCCAGTATCTCCCAGCCAGTGTAATTTTTCCACTTGACTTAAGAACGGCTTGAGTTAAGTACATTTTGACTTAAGAACCACTCTCATAGGAAAATATTGACTTGACTTAAGTACTTAGGTTTGAGTTAAGAACTGAAAAAACCATGTGGGAGGCAGGGAAAGTGCAAAATTTGAACTTTCAGTTAACTGTTGGCCAGTGAAAAGGGTGCCTGTCTGCTTCCTCACTCCTCCCAGCGTTTAGAGAGTGGATTGGGAGACAGTCTTCGGACTGGCTGGTACTGCCTGGACTGTATTTTCCCTGCCTTCCCTGAACCTTTCTTGACCTAAGAAAAAAAGAAACAAAATATCCCCCCTCTGGTGGTCGAAGGCAGAATAGCAGCTTCCCATTAGTTTCTATGGACGGAAAAGAGCAGATACGGATAAAATGGTTTTCAATGCATTCCTATGGGAAATGCAGATTTGACCTGAGAACTTTTTGACTTGAGAACTGCCTTCCAATACGGATTAAGTTCTCAAGTCAAGACCTCACTGTAATTTTTCCAAGTCTGATCCAAAATCACACACATACCTAGAAATGCTCCACAACAGAGTTGTTGGTTGAGTGGCCAGAAGAAACCATTTTCTCACTGGGCTTCATGTAGGTAAATTCCTCAGAGGACAGAACATATCTATGGCACTAGAGTGAATGGCCCAACAGCATCATACCTGCAAGCCAGTCTGTAGTATACAGAGAGAGAAGCCTTTGTAAGGTCCCCGGTTCTGACATTATACTTTAGCCTGAGCTCTACAGCTGTCCTCTGCTTGCTCTCCATCCACCCTATGAAGCAGCTGGTCAGAGGACAATGTCAGGCTGAGCCCAGCGCTTCAGGCCCATCAACGCTGGATGTTTTGGCAGCCTTATGAAGACCCTCAGGGGGTAATATGCAGCTTTGCCTTGACACTTTCCCTCACATCAAAATACCAACCAAGCCTTTTCTTTCTAAGGGGACAAAGACTCCTGTTGACTGCTGTGCCTCTTTTATTTTGTGTTTGCTGCCACAGATGAGCAGAAAATCTCTTCCACCCCTGTCCTGACATTGAGGCAGAGGAAATGCTATGATCATAAAGAGTGCCATCCCAAGTGGCATTGCCCTCCCTGCTTCTCTCTCTCTCCCCCCGCCCAGCTCTTCCACGCTAGAGTTAATCATGCCCTGAGCCCTGCACATTTTCCTCCCACAATGGCTGATTAAACTACTGAGCATGTTGCCAAGCATGTCCCTTGAACTGTCGCGCATGACCTACAACAAGTCATCTCATGGCCTTGGGGGGCAGACGTCTCCCTTTGAGGGAGATTTAATCCCCCTTCTTGCTGATGGCAGAGCCGGCTTAGCCCCATGGCAGGAAAAGCCTCATGAGAGAAAGACCAAAATGGACCCTAGGGTTTGGGGGGGTGTGAGGGAGCAGAGGACGAAAACAATGACAATCCACAATAACTTCATTGGTGGCACGGCAGCAGAAAAGGAAATGGAATATGAGGGATGGCCCAGAAAAGCTCGAAGTGAGGGATAAGGAAGAGCAATACAAAAGCACAAACAATATGAAAGAAAGAAAGAGGGAGGGGGGAAAAGAGAGAAATATGAACAATCAGGCAACCTGCAATTAATTGCCAAGTTTAATTCCATAAAGGTTGCTTTGCTTCAGTGAAGGGAGATGCAAAGTGAGATAAGGCAAAGGTTTGGTCCCAAAGATGACCACGTCACCTGCAAATCAAACTTCTGTCCTCAACCATTTCCCCTTCCATGTTTTTTAGAATACCTTCATCACCTGTACATTCAGTATTCACACCTTGAATGGTGGCAAGGCTGGAGAAACGTCCTTTTGGACTGCTCTTCCTCTTACAGGACAATCCAAAGAAACACAAAATGGGCACAGTGGTTTGCTGGTACTGTATTGTCATTCCTTGTCACCCAGTTGGCCAGAGTGTTATGTGTGAGGGGCACCTGCTCACTGCCAGCCAAAAGAGTTTATTTCTCTCTCATACACCCACACCACAAAGTTTTATAAGCTTGCTTCAAAATGGCAAATCAAGGGTGGGCAATACCCTTCACTGGAATATTAAAATATTAAAGGCATGTAAGTTGCCGAGTCGGGTAGGACCCTTCCTCAGATTAGGCATTGACTTGAGGGTCCTACTGGACTTGAAATTTTGTCTATTTTTAATATTTTAGTGGTTCAGTAAACGTATGACCTACACTTCTTTTTGCACTTTGTTCATGGGCCTCATGGCTTTTCTGTATTTGCTCAAAATAGCAGGAAAGGAAATAAAATAATTTATAAGGCATGGAGATCAGCTGTGCATCTCCCTCTCTGAACACAGAATGAAATCACCAACTTTGCTTCCAGCCATGAAGTGCACCTGTTCTGCTTGGGTTGCTCTCAATTCTTCAAACCTTTTCCTTCACCATTAAGACATTTTATAGCAACCAATAGACATTTCCTATTTGCCCCTTCTCATTATTAAGAAACATTTTTGTTATGATCCATCTCCTTTATGACTGTCTCCACAGCTGCTTTTCCTCCACAAAGTCCACATTTGCATTATATCCCTCTCCTGACTTGTTTTCTGGGGTATTTAGACCCAAAGATAAATCAAATTAACGGCGTGGGTCCAATGAAGAAAAAGACAAAACAGTCTACTTTACTTTGTAGACTTTGCAGTGAGATTGGAAGGAGAAAATAGAATCAAGAGAGGAGGGAATTTGGACCTATCATTTCTTCATAGCAAGGATGGGGGGAAAGTTTTTGAAAATAAGACACAGAAGTTGGGGGATGGGGATACATTTTTGATTGTTTTACCTGGACATGGTCATCTCTGTTTGAGGGCTCTGCGACCTCTCCAGCCCCAGCTTGGTAAAGATGCCCACCAGTACCATGATGGCTACCACACCGCAGATAATATACACGATCATGTTGGTCTTGTCCCTGGTGGGATTCACTGGGGACTCATCCACTCGAGCAGGTGGCTGGCCTGTATTGACCCATTCTGGTGTCTCATAATTGGAGCAGCCACTTTGGTCCAGTCGCCCACTTGTGAACTGGCAGCAGAAGCGATAGCCGCAGGTCCCACAACAAAATTTGTAAATCCCTGAATTGCAGTTAAAGGGAGGATCCCACTGGCCCATAACATCATAATAACCAAGGCACCGATCACCCCCAAGTATGATCTCTGTGGGGGCCACAACTGTATTCTCCACGGTAGGACCCAAAGTGCTGTTGCCAGTGGTCTCCATCTGTGTTTCCAACTCAGGTTTCTGAGTACTTGGGCTTCCAGTCCAAACCTGTCCTGGATCCAACAGAACAAGGCAACAGAAACCAAAAATACAACCCCGTTCCATCTGCTTGGCACCCCAGCTCATAACTGAAACCGCCTTCTGTCTCTCCTCCTTTCTCTGAGACTGATTCCACAAAAAAGTCTTGTTTTGTTGAGAGAGGCGACCAAAAATCCCAGCTAAAAGTACACACAACTGCACATCTTTTCATCTGCCACTTCCAATGGTGAAGAAATAGTTCAGTCTCTCCTCACTAAACAGTTTTGCTCAGAGAGAAACCACACACACTCCAAGCAAACCCTCTCGCCAAACATGAGGGATCAGTGGGAGTGAGGAAGGGAATTGCAAGTTTTTTTTAAAAGGAGGTGAGAAGGAAAAGAGAAGGAGGAGAAAGAGGTAAAGAGTTGGGGGGGGATCAAAATAATATGCAGCACCCTCTAAGTCAAAAGAACAATCTTACAATATCCTGTGTGATCCTAGGAGGTGGAAGAAGACTGCAATCCTTCTCTTTCTTGCCTTTTAGCAGCAAGTATTCTATGTTTCTAATTTCATTTGAAAAGCTGCGCTGAAAATACCATGAACTACATTCCCATCTTGGCTCGAACAGAATCCTGGAGGCAGCCCGTCTCTTTCTCTTTCACTCCCCCTTCTTCAGAGCCACTGTGCTTTCTGGAGAGAGAGAGAGAGACAGGGGGAAAAATCCTTTGCACCACTGAGAAAGGGAGGGATCATCAATAGGGAAAAGAAGAGGGGGGAAAAGGAGGAAGGGGAGGGAGAAGTAGATGAGAGAGAGAGAGAGAGAGTAGGAGGGTGAAAAGAGCCCTTCTTCCTTCTTAAAGCTGGATCCACAATTGCCCGACAGTTCCCAATGCAGACCGGAGAAAAACCTTTGCCAACTCCTCTGTGTCCTCTGTGCAAATCCCTGGCGAACAGCCAGAGGTTGTCATCAGGCCAGGCTGGAGGCAAGAGGATGCTGTGGGCCCCCTATGGATGGTGTCCCAGGCGCTTGGGCACAAGTGGAATGAAGCTGGGAGGCAACTGCAAGCACCTTATTTGTGTGAGGAGAGAAGAGGCAGAGATGAAGCTGGACGCCCTCTGAATGCTTCCCCCCCCACATGTGTCATTCCACTCTGCAGAGAAGAACCAACTACCTTTTAGTACAAAGGCTCTTACACAGATGGCAATAACTTCAGCCTGGCATCATTGCTACTGCAATATTGTGTTTTGAGAGCATGATTGAAAAACCAAGATAATTTAGACAATGACAATGACGATTTGTTTGTTCTTCTGCACCCAACACGTATATAAGTTCTCTGTGTCAAAGTCAGCTAAAACTAGGCTATAGTGAAAGGTTAGTGCAGTATCAAATTAAAATCCAGAGCATGTATATTTTCAGAATTTGAACCCGACCCCACTCCAAAAAGGCAAGAATTTTTGAAAGCTTCTTAGGGATTAGCTGTAAGTATATTAACTTCAGTTATCAAAATGAGTGCCCCTTAGTCATTGGCTGAACTGTTGGGGTGTTAAGGAGTGGGGGAATGTTTATGAACATCCAAACTGTTCATATGGCTATGCTTATGAACAGATGAAGCAGTTTTCAGGCAAGGGTTCAAGCAGAGAAAGAAGTAGGCAGCAGACTGGCTGAGTGTAGAATATTACTTTTTAAAGAGCACTTTGCTAAATAAGTGGGCATAAGAAGTGTACATAGAGGCATGAGCCGTGTGGATGTGCATATGAACGGGGGAGTGTGTGAAATGAAAGCAGACAGACAAAATGTCTCAGTTACACACATGTGTGATTGCACACACACACACACACACACACACACACGCACACACACACTCCAATTGTAAATGTATGCAGCTTTCTACTTGTTTATGCTTAGAGCATTTGGATTAACAAAAAAGGAAGCTGTGTGATAGATGGTACCGTAATGATAAGAAGTTTTGCTTTTACTGAATTCTTCTGATACTTATTTATGAACTAGACTAATTCAGGACAAGAGACTGCCTCAGGTTAGGAGACTTGAACTCTTCCATTTTGGAAACATTCCAGGCTTCCTGAGTTTAGAAAACATCTGCAGAGAATGGCATTGGGTTTCAAAGACAACGCTAGCTAATATTTTCTCTCCTTCTCCTTCTGCGAGAGAACTTTTTCAGGACACATCGGAGAAAAACAAATCAAGACTGAGGACAACCGTCCAGGGTTTTGAACTGTCATTCTTATTCTGGCAAGACTGCTGATTAATTTTAGAAGGGAAGGCTTTGGCTGAATAGAAAACGAAGAACAAGTTAGATCCAGGAATGAAGGCTTAGAGCAAAGAAGATGAAAACAATTATCCACACAACAAACAATTAACTTACACAATTAATTGCCACAAGATGTTCCAATGGCTCTAGGAAAAGAGTACAGGACCATCAGGAGGGAGGATCAGTTACACTGCTTGCTTGTCATGCTGACAGGCCTGTAGCTAACATTAAAATATGCAGCTAAAAATAAATCCACTTTTTTTCATCAGTGGGAAGCTTAACTATAAAAATGGCCCCTAAAGAACTTATTTCTCAGGAAAAGGAAAAACAGAAGAGTGTTAAAGGAGCTTGTCAAAGACCTAGTTTATTGGCAGTATCATATGGGGAACTTGAAGCAATGTTCTGTCTTTCAGGGAAGCACCGCTTTATCAACAGTAATGAGACTTACGGTCCAATTTCCTCTTCCTTGATACCGGAAATCAATGATTGCCAATGAGCCATTCAATTTACATTAGCCTGAACTGGACTGACAGTGTGAGCAAAGGTGATGTCTAAAAACTTTGGCAGCAAAATGCCTAGAAGTTGCTCTTCGGAGGTTTGTAGAAGGATGTCTCACTCTCAAATTTGGGCGGGTGCTCCCTGCTCAAGCTGCCTATGGAAAGGGTACAGAAAGATTCACAAGTATTTCAGCAGATTGTAATATACGATAAGCTTCTAATAATAATTTGGGCTGTGCAACCCAAGACATTTTGATGCCTGAGAGAGAGAAGAAACTAGCACCCTTCCTTCCAGTAACCAAGTCAATATGCATTGTACCCAAGGCCAGCCTTGATATTTTGCCTGGTGAGGCAGAATATCTCATCACTCACAGTAAAAATACAATAATAAAGAACAATGTAGGTAACCATTTCCTGTGCATTCATGATGATACTTAAAATCTGCTGCTTGAGGTGAACATATGCTGCCTTAACAGTAGAGCTGGCCTTGCTAATGGCCCCAAACGACAACACCAGAGACAACTGTGCAGCTCACAAATACGTATAAAATTGAAGCTATCTTCTCCCATAACCCTGGAGCTGTCCAGCATATCCACATTTCACACTTCAGGTTTATATGCATCTTCCATAGTACAGTAGTAGAAGAGGTAGCTATGTTAGTCTGTACTAGCATCTCAGGCAAAACCAAAATAAAAATGAAAAAAAAATAGTGGGAGTATACCTGTCCACAAGAGCTCACATTAGTATATAGCAGTCAGTCTTTAAGGTGCCACAACATTTTTGTCTTCTTTATTTTTATTTTTAATTTTTATTTTGGTTTTTCCTGATATTCATGGCTACTTCATCACTTCCTCTTTAATGGATACTATCTTTTTGTTTCATGTGAAGGTGATAGAGTTACTAGAATGCTTCCCAGAGGATTTCTGGCAGGTATAGACTGTATGTTCCTGATCTGTAGTTACTGTTTTTCAATTTGAATATTGCACATATTGTATGGATAAGAACTCCTAAAGTCTGAGGCAGAGCGGGGGAGAAGATACCAATAATCTTTCAGGCGAATGTAAAAACTGCACAAATTGTCCCAAGGGCCCGTGTTCATAACCTTATTGGCATGAGAGGGTAGGGAGACCAATATACCCATAATTTGATTCTAGGGTGTGACTACTCATGCAATGTGTCTCATATGCTATCAACTTGGGCCCAGTTCCCTCCTTCTCTACCTTCAAGGGAGCCCCCTCTGTCAACCATCTGTTCCATGGCAGAATATCACTGCTGCTCTGAAAAACTCAGATCAGTAAAAATAAGCAAAATACCACAGTCCTTTTCCTGACAAACCCTGTACTTTAACAAAACAAATCAGAGCAAAGCAAAGCAAAACGAAGAAACAAACAGTTCTTCCTACCTCTTCAAGAAGGAGAACAGGAAAAAAAGGAAGCAGAAATATCAGCAGGGGATGATTTTGTAACATCGTCCCCTTTCTCCAACAGTAAGAAGAGATAGTGCTGTAGGATTAACTTCTTTCGCTTGAGACTTATTGCTGACTCTTTAATATTTGCCTTATTTACAAATTTACAGTCAGCACAAAACTGGAGACAAACAAGCACTTCCTTCGCTGGCCAAAGACTGGTAGAGAAACCTGAGTATGTTGTAGGTTTCTCTCCCCCCCCACACACACACTTAAACCAATGACAAGCCAGAGCTTGGTGATCTTACAACTCCTGTCATGTTGTACCCATGCTGGGTGGGGGATTCTGGGAGATATAATTCAGAAATAGAACTTTTACAAGCTTTAATTCATATAGAAGTGTTCATCTCTATCTCTCTCCCCCTCTCCCCCCCTCCACATCCATTCCCACATTATAGCTGCAAATGCCTATTTCCCCTCTCCCCCCCCACACACACTCTGCAGAGCACCAGGTTTTTGTATAAAATGCCAACTGGAATTGCTCTCCCTGCTTCCCAATGAGACTCGACCCCCCCCCAAAAAAAGATTCCACCCCTTCTTTTTCTGTCTGTGAACATGAGGGAGGGATGAAGGCATGTTGGCAAGACTTGATCTGAGTCCCAAATCCAAGTCCGAGTCTTTGATACCAAGTCCCAAGTCCAAGTCCCTATTAAAAACAAACATTTTCCCCTAGAAAAGAAGGGGGGAGTAGGAGGGTTCTGAGTTGCGAGTTGAGTCTCGGTTATTGAAAAAAGCAACAGCCTCGAGTCTGAGTTGAGTCACTGGCATGACTTAAGTCTGTCTTGACAGCGAGTCCCACGACTTGAGTCCCCATCCCTGGAGATACGCTTAGAATACGGCTTGCATCTCTTTTCCTGCCTATTGTCAAGAATGTAGTTTCGCCCCAAAGCCCTCACCATTTATTTAAGATTTTTCCTGACATAATGCCACTTCAGATTAGGGCCATCAAGAAAATCTGAAACTGAACCTAATTTAAAAGTATCTGTTGACTGTTTTAATTTTTTTTAATATATAATTTCCCTTTTTTGTATTTAATGCTATACCTAGCATTAATGCTATATCTCTACAACTTGGGGTGGGTGGGTGGTAAAACCCAGAATAAATGATAATGTGACTTCAGGCTCCACAATTCTATGAATATTGTCACCTGACCTTGGAGAAGTTACTTTTATGGACTGCAGCTCCCAACACCCTACTCCACAGTTGTTGTAGTTAAACAGGTAGAAGATTCTGGGGAAACAGAAAATGGTTCAAAATGTAACTTTTCTAGATTGGTTCCCCAATGGAAAGGGGATCTCCCTGCACACAGAAAAATAGCAAATGGAGCCTAGCTTGCTTCTTGGGATGCTCTTTTTCTATATGGTGGGAAAACATGTGTTTATGTGTGGGAGCATGCACACAATCAAACATACCCGTTCCTTCTACTACCCAGTGATGTAGCCCTGGGAAAATCTTGTCATTATGCTGACTGCATGCAATGGCTTGCCAGCCTTAGAGATGCAGCAAAACAAGCCGCCTGGCTGGCCTAGAGCAGTTATAAGAGTTCACCTCATACTTCCATGGCCCTTCTTCACAGAGAAGAAGATCAGTAGGAATATTGAGTGTCTCCCAACCACTGCTTGTCTTGTCTTTTGAGTGAAAAATCTATTATTCTGAAATAGGTGTCCTAAACCTATTGTTTCTAAAACCTACTTTTTTGTTCATTTAAGAAAGTTAAGAATTATCTGTTTGCCTGGAGGCATGCAAGACAACATGAAGCAGTGAAATACAATAACACCTTAATTTTGTTTTTTGATTGGTTATTA